AGACTGAACAGCGTTTTCTCGACATGTTTCTGTGTTGTTGTTGCTCAGCAATGGCATGGACGTGATGTTGTCTGGAGGGTTGGCAAAAGGAGAGTGGGACTGTGGGCAGTGCTCGGGGTGGTGACTAAAGGCGGTGACAGTAGTTCTGACGCCTTTTTACAGAAGTCACAACAGTTCGTGAAAAATCACAGCTACAGGTTGTGTGCATTTGACTGTGGATTGACTGTTTTGAAACTTATATGGTAGTTACATAGCACCTAGACCTCATTTATCATGAAAAAAGCCAGGAAATTTCAGTTTTGACAATATGGAACCTTTAAACTACTTAGAGGTGGACAATATGGGCAAAATCTTTATCACAAAAAAGGTCATTTTCAACCACAGTAAGGAATGACAACACAATACAGTTATTCTACCTCTAATATATATTTGCTAAACAACACTATAACTACATTATAGCTAGATATAAATCAGGAGGATCACCTTTATAATCGTTCTATATCGAAATATTGCCCAGCCCTAAAACTTGCTCTTGGTAAAGCATAACAGACATCAACATTTAACATTTACTTACTTATAAAAGCACAAATAAACACAACAAGAGTTGTCCACTGTGCTGTACAAAAGAGGAAAGGTAAAATAAAAAGAATAATAATAAATATAATACACTAAAACATAAGTTAAAATGAGACCAAGAATTATAATGAATTAAATGCAAGAATAAAAATATGAGACTGTAACTTAGATTTAAAATCATATACAGAAGATGCAGATCTCACAGATAAGGGAAGACTGTTCCATAACCTAGGACCGGCCACCGCAAACGCACGGTCACCTTTCAACTTCAATCTTGATCTTGGATATGACAGAGTAATACTGTCTGAGGATCGCAAACATCTGGCAGACCTATTCACATTTCCAAGATCTATTTATCTATTTAAGGACATAAAATCAAACAGCAAAATTTTTAATTCAACTCCATAACACACTGGCAACCAGTTAAGAGACAATAAAATCGAAGTAATGTGTTCTCGTTTACGAACCCCGGTTAAAAATCTGGCTGGGGCATTTTGAACCATTTGAAGCCGCGACATGGAGGATTGGGGTAGTCCAATATACAAGGAGTTACAATAGGTTGTTTGCACATGACATCACTGATGATGCGCGAAATGCAGCAGGAGGGCAGGAAGTGATTTTTCTTCATAGGAATCACTAGCAGAAACTCAAAATGCCTGTGTTTTGCGTTGTTTATGGATGCTCAAATCGGCCAAACCGAGAAAGCAACAGGAGCTTTTATCGTGTACGAAAATGTGTTGGTCATAAGGGGGGAAAAGTCAAGAAATTGATTGAAAAACGCAGGAAAAAGTGGCTTGTAAACCTGCGTCTGCGGTCGGGAGGAGCAGAGCCGGATAATGCTCGTGTGTGCAAATGGTGACTATAAGATATAATAATATATTAAGATATTAATACCTTAAGCTACCACCTCTCACGCATTCAGCGCGAGACAGTCAGAATTCACTCTGTGCTAAACGCCACACGTAGCCACGATGTAAATAAGATATTATTTGCAGTTCATAGAGCTTCACTGGTTATAAAAGAACATCGTGAGATTGCGATAAATTGAAATGAGTGACAGCTTTTTAGTGATTATATGGAAGCGCTATTTGCTTGCTTTCTAGGCTATATTCAAGTAAGAATTTGAATAAAACTTTTGTTTTACGTGCTGCTAACAGGACCAACAGCCACATACACTGTACATGCAGCAAAGTTTCAGGAGTGACTGAAAAAGCAGAACGGATGAGATGGAGGAAAGTCCGTACTGTACTGTTTTAGGCATGAGGCATTTTTGAGGCATTTTTTAATATAGCGCTGTCTAGGGGTGCAACGGTTCAACTTACTCACGGTTCTGTTTGTAAAACGGTTTTAGAGTCACGGTTTCGGTACGGTTCGGTATGTGCCATGTTTAGGGAAAAAACGATATTGTCAAATGAAAATAAGAACAAATAATCTAACTACAAGCAACACAAATAAATGCAATAGAGCCAAGATACAAATAAAATAAACAGTGCTTTTCAGGTTTTTTAGGTAGGTCAGTTTTTAGAACAGTTTTTAGGTACAGAAATTGAATAAAGTAATGAAACGTAAAACTACATTGCATATTTGACTGTATAAATAAATAAAAATGAATCCTTATTAAAGTTACAAAAGTTATTCAATCAAGAGCAGTGAGTGATTTCCGTGTTGTTGCTGTTTAATTAACTTTAAGAAAGTGCTGTCACTTTAAGAGAATGCACTGATACTGTTTGTTCAGCCGACTATGTCTGCTAGGATACTCACCAAGACGGGCATTTTGACATCATTTTTGTGTGAATTTGTCCATTCAAGCACAATACTTCAAAGAGAGCTTAATATTTGCGCTCGTTCTGAGACGCGGGTTCACGCACTTCGGATGAGCAACCACACAGATCTTCTCACTGCGCGCGCGAGTTCGTGTCTTCTGGCTCTTTAATGACAGTTATTCCAGCATATAGCACTCGCATTGAACAAATAGTGACTGGTTTGTCCACGTATTGTTTTTTCTCTCTCATCGCTCTTGTTGTAATGCATTGGGAAGCCAGAATTTGTATACATCAACAGAAACATGCATTAGCCGAACTCTAACAAACCATATTACAGATGCATTGTCAGATTTAAGTTTAACCGCAGTCCTAGTGCATGCCGAACCGTGTGGAGAACCGTACGGTTCGATTTTTTACCGAGAACCGTTGCACCCCTAGCGCTTTCATTGTATTGCTGTGCACCCAACGTGCTTTACAATCATATGAGGGGATCTCTTCAACCACCACGGTATTACAAGAGAAAGGTTTTACATATGTTGGACGTATGTTATGAAGAGGAGCGATTTTTAAACTAAATTGAAATACTTGCCTGCCACTGAGACGGTTATTTTTATAAACTGAGTTTTTCTTCCGTTTTTAAAAAAATCTCCGTCCACATGAAAACACAAACGCATGCTATGAAGCACTATCAAGAGCATGCCAAACCAACAGGTGGTGATATAATCTCAACCGTAAAGCCATGTTGGCCAATCAGAAGCCTGAAAAAGTTTCCAGTAGGCGGAGACGCTGTTTACACCATAGACATAATAAAAACAACCTATAGTCCAAACGTGATAAAACAAAAGCATGTATGACTCTTTCAAGATCTTTAAAAGATAGAAAAGATCTAACTTTTGACAGAAGTTTAAGATGGAAAAAACATGACTTAACTACTGAGTTAATATGTTGGTCAAACATAAGGGAGGAATCAAAAAGAACTCCCAAAATTTTCACCATTGGTTTGATATAAGAGTTTAAATGACCACAGTTAAAATTTGGTTTTCCTTTACCCACAGACGGTCCAAAGACAATTGCTTCCGTCTTTCCCTCATTTAAATGCAAAAATGTTTTAGACATCCAAGATCTTACATCAGCTAAGCATGCAAGCAATGTTTCTAAACCATTCTTGTCATTGTGTTTTAAAGGTAAATAGATGTGGGTAGTGTTGTCACGGTACCAGAATTTCAGTATTCAGTACCAATACCAGTGAAAATCCACGGTTCTCGGTACCAATTTTGGTACCAAAGCAAAACACAAAAACATGCTAATTGAACAACATATTTATTAATAACGTTAAACAAAAATCTGGTATGGTACTGTAATGTTTTCATTTTTTTAGACTTGGTACCGAAATACCGGGTCTTTTGACAACACTAGATGTGGGTGTCATCAGCATAAAAATTAAAGGGCATTCCATGCTCCGTAAAAATTTAACCTAGTGGAAGCATGTACAGTGAAAACAAGATGGGAGCCAAAATAGAGCCTTGAGGAACACCAGAGGTAAGAGGAGCTACAGATGAAACATAGCGACCAATACCTACTGAAAAAGTTCTGTTACTAAGATAAGATCTGAACCAGCTAAGGGCACTTCCTTGGATGCCCACACACTTTTCAAGGCGTGATACAAGCGGCGGGGTTCCCCTGGTAAAATTCGCATTCCAGGGGCTAAATATCACGCTAATGGGGTCGTTTTTCAACCCGTGGACATGAAAAACAACCCGCGGCAACAGTGTTAAAGCAGCCCAATTCCGCGGGAAAACCGCGGACTTGGCAACACTGGAAGAGGCTAGCTTTCGGATAGCGCATCAAGAACCGGGTTGACCGGGTACTCGGTACCACCGGTACTTAAAAAAACCTGGTACTGTAATGTTTTCATTTTTTTAGACTTGGTACCGAAATACCGGGTCTTTTGACAACACTAGATGTGGGTGTCATCAGCATAAAAATTAAAGGGCATTCCATGCTCCGTAAAAATTTAACCTAGTGGAAGCATGTACAGTGAAAACAAGATGGGAGCCAAAACAGAGCCTTGCGTAACACCAGAGGTAAGAGGAGCTACAGATGAAACAGCACTACCAATACCTACTGAAACAGTTCTGTTACTAAGATAAGATCTGAACCAGCTCAGGGCAGTTCCTTGGATGCCCACACACTTTTCAAGGCGCGATAAAAGAATGGCATGATCAACTGTATCGAATGCTGCACTCAAATCTAAAAGCACTAAAATTACCAAGTTCCCAGAGTCAACAAGTAGCAAAATGTCATTTAATACTCTTAAAAGAGCAGACTCAGTACTATGAGTTTTCCTAAATCCAGACTGGAATTTTTCAAGAGTATTATTTGTTTCCAAAAAACTCTGTAACTGTAATAACACAACTCTACCTAAAATTGTAGCAATAAAAGGTAAATTTGAGATTGGCCTAAAATGTGATAAAACAGTTGTATCCAGATTAGGCTTTTTCAACAGAGGTTTGACTAAAGGTATGACAAAGTATGACTAAAGGCATTATAGACGTACCAGCTTGACTTTCTGTAAAGCTGCTTTGACCGATGTGCATTGTAAAAAGCACTATACAAATAAATTTGACAGAATCTGAAACAGAAGAATTTGCAATCACTGACCTTGTTGAATTCCTCCCATGAGTTGCTCCAAGTCCAATAGTGTGCCTTGTACTGCCCGATCCGCACTGCCATCATCTGGTTGCCACGATAATAGAAGATGGGTCTGTTGGGCATGAAATGGGAATCTTGTGATAAGACATTCCGTTTGCCAATACTGCCCACCGTGTCTCATCCCATTTGGCAATATGTGTTCAGTGAAACACCTTTTGCAAAAGGATGGTCTCTTTCTCAAAGCCTCTAGGTAGTGGCTTTATCAGGAGACCTTAACTTCCCTCAGAATCACTCTTTTATCCAGAGGAACACCTACAGAAACTGTATGCTAGCAGCAAAGTAAGAGTTGCAGACTGTATTTGTGCAGTGTCTCTGCCCTTGTTTACACCTGCTGTTAACATCAGTCCCAAGCAGACAATGATAAATAAAGAAACAGCATCCAACGCATATTAAAGACGCACTGTGATACAATCACTCAAATAACCTTTGGAGCTGGACTGAGACAGTAATAGCCACATCACATTTCTAGAGTAAGGGCATCTAACCGCTGACACAACAGAGAACATTCTGACAAGAGATATTTTAGGAATGGGTCTCGACTGAGCACCCAAAATGTTTATATGTAGTGTAAATAGATCTGATCAAAAAGCAGAACAAACTAATCAAATGTGAATGAAAGTCACACTTGCTTTGAGGTGGTTACCTGTCTAGCAGTGAGTTGTTGAAGAGGACAGGACTTAAATCGAGACCATCAATGACACGGTCATCAGGGGGATGAATGCCAGCCACAGAAAGACTTGTGCTGAAGAGATCCATCACACTGCCCAATTGATAACTCACCTGATGAACAAAACACTGGTATCATGCACAGAAACACAGTTTTGAATGGAATAATAAATTATTGAACGATAACCAATGATTTGGTCAAGCTGGTAAATCTTCCATACTATATAATACATGTGCCTTAACCATTTTAAAGTTTTATTTTGGCTTGAATTAATTGGAATTTTATATTTTAGAATTTTTTTAATAAACCGAGAGATCTGGGTGCAGTTAACTTGAAGAAAGACACATTCTTTTATAAATACTACCGGCATTGTAACATTAAAAAGCTGGCTGAAACAAGTGAAGTATTCTTTGACTCATGTCTTTTGAAATGAAAGAGCTCACTGGAGCTTTTAGACAAAATCTGAAAAAAAAAAAAAATATTGCATATGTGCTTTTTGGCTTTTAGATTGTATACAACATGTTTTTCAGCAAAGTTTTGATCATGTTTATCATGATCCAATTTAGAGGCCTCAGAAATTTACGTATCACATATGATACAGTAGGCTTTATATAGTTAATTGGATAAGCAAGCATAATTATCTATCATAAATGACAATCATAATATCAGCTGACATGTGGCTATCACCAGTCTAGATGCTCAAGATTGTTTAAGCTGTGATATATCAACCCATGCTGCAACCCGCACATATACACAAACACACACGGATGCAAATGCATCTTCTTCATGCATGAACCTTGTCAAGATGGCACAGAACGTAAGCACCGGCAAGGAGGCCAGTTTAGAAGAGCAGAACCACGATGACGCGTTTCTTCAGTTCCCACTCTAATCTGTGCTCGCAGGTTTATTATAAACCACACTAACATCTCTGTAAATGAAGAAAAAGGCAGAGAGAAAGGAGAGTTGGGACAGAGGCCGGAACTGCTGCTTTATCTGTCCTCCCCAGTCCTGCTGCAAAAAAAGCTTTATTTTATTTATAAACTTTGAACTATTTTCCGATAAAATGCCATTTTTTCGCTGTCATCCTTGATCTTCCATTCTATTCTCTCCTGAGCAGCCCTTTGAGGGAGACGGCACGCTCACAATCAGATAGCACTATCGGCACGGAGCAGCTGGCTCTGCCGCGCACACATACACACACACACGTTGCCTGCTTCAGCCTCCCAGAATTCCCTTCACCACTGCCAGACAGGCAGTACATTCCAATATCTTTACTCTCAGGTTTCACACACACAGACGTACCCTACATACATACTTATACACACGGGAAAAGGATAAATAAAAGTTAAACAATTAATAAAGGTAACTAGTCGCTACCTCCAGCTGCTCTTATCCAGCAACACACACAAAAAACATGGGACTAGTAAAAAGGGAAATGGATATTTATTTATCTCCAATTAATTTCCTCCTTCTCTTCTTCTAGCTGTCTGCGTCTCTGTGTTTTTGGCTGACACTAGTTATCTGAGCAGACAGACCTGCAAAACCTGCCTAATGCACTCAGTCTATGTGTCTCTGAACTGATAAACACAACAGGAGTGACTGGGATGTCCACATTAGCTGTGATGCCACAAAATAATTTAAAAACCCATCTCGAGACCCCTAAGTGTAAATCTGTTGTGTTTCATTTAGCTGTTTCTGAATGCAATGGATCCTCTTTGGGGTTACGGATTTGCTGTTGAGTCTAATACAGTTCACACAGTCCCATCCTTACTAACATAACGGAAGTTCTTACTTGATAGGTTTACCCTGCATTTTTTATGTTATTCTCTGAGGTGCTTGCTTCTAATTGTATTAGTCAATTTACTTGATCTGAGGTTCTCTTTTGTTCCTTTTTTGTAAATTTAATCGGTTTTTATTTCATCAGGTTTTTTGTATTATTATTTCAATATTCAGTTTCTTGCTAACATTTATTTCTTGAATTCTTTCTATGCGTTTGTAGAATTGTGCACATTTATTTGTGGATTTTGAAAACATTCCTCACAGCAAAACTGCAAAGAAATCCTCTAAAATACAAAATATATAAAAATATTTGTCAATCTCATTGTATGGTTGCAAAACCTTTTTTTTGTGAATTAATTTAATTTCGGATAATCTCGGATTATTAATTTGTACATTTCATTTGATTTGTTTGTGAATAAATTTTCAATTCGATTTATTTGTAAATCTGGAATAAATATAACCCCACATAATTTGGTAAAACAAAAAGGGGCATCAATGCTTCCCAAGAGAGAAATGGCTAAGAAGATGCACATATCACAAAGAGCCAGCCTGCTGCTGCAAGACAAACATTAACAGTGTGAAACACCTGCTTATCCCACTCTGCACTGCTCTGGCACTGCCCAGACACCTGGCACACCACACGCCTCCATCACAGCCACATACCCCAGCACTCCTCTCTGCTCTCCTCTCCCTTTCTGTTCTTTATCCGGCACGCCTGGCATATTCAGATACAGAAACCCTCATTACAGCTCAATCCAACCTCAGCAAACACACAAACAGATTAGCCGCTTAAGACCTTCCCAATCCCCCTCTCCCTCGTCACTCTGCCGTGCTATCAGGGCCCCGCACACCCCTCAGATATGAGCCGGGGGCAGGCTTAGCGCGGCTCCCGCGCTCCCTCCTCCAAAAATCCCCCCACGTCACAGCCCCATGTCACAGCTGCCCCTAATACAATTAAAAGTCATTTGCGGAGCACACAGCTTCAGCGGATCTGGAAAAGGAGGCTTCCCCTGCCACAAAAAAAAAAGAGGGAGGAAAAGGGAATCATAAGGAACTTCAAGAATAAATAGAAGGTATTTGGTAAATAATTCAATAATTGTCCTGACAAAGGTAAATATTAAAATGGAGCTGCATCATAACTGTTATTTGGTGTAATTTTTATGAGGCCCAGTTCCAGTTTTAAAATATGGGTACCAAAAAATTGGTAGCAAAGATCTGATCAACCTTGCTAAATTTATTATACAGTTCTCTGAAATGATTGATTCTGATTGGTCAGTCAAGACATTCCGATGACTGTTATTCCTCATAATGACCTTTGCCAATAGTAATGCTGATTAACAGACCACTCATCTGGGTATCTGAGGCCAGCGCTTCTTTCACGTCTCTCGCATCACATTTCTGATTTACTCTCTCTTGTTTCATAAACTCAACTGGTACCATCTTGCATCTTGCACTTATGGACTGTATTGAAAATGAAATCAGAGGACTTCAGTAGAACTATAATGTTGTAGTGTTTGTTTTGTTGCCGAGAACGATTGTTTTTGTTATAACTGGTGTATGAATGTGGTATGTCAGTATTTGTCTGGTTTTAAATTGTTCATTGTCCTGGCTCAAAGCCACTTGCCATGAACTGCGGCACTCTTCCGCTATTGCAGAATAACGACCAGCTGGATGTACATTAACCCTTAATTAAAGTTACATTTGTTCCCAAAGATGCAAAGTGAATGTTTTTTGAGTTGCATTAACCACCAATCAAAAAATTTGATTGAACAGAAGTGCTGTGTGACGTAACACAATCACAGCCAGTCTGAACATATTTGATGTTTAAGGGCCTTTCACACTAAGGAGTATTTACACACTAAGAAGACACTGATGGAGTATTAGAACAGATAGAAATGTATGAGGTGTGTTTTGAGGGTGTGGAAAGATGAAATACAGTGAACTGGAAAGCACAACAGGGACTTCTACATTTAAATGAAACAGCTTGGGATCATTCTTACGGTGCCAGCAGGGATCCGTCCAGGCCACCAGGCAATGGCTGGTTCCCTCATGCCGCCTTCAAACGTAGTCTCCTTCCCACAGAGGAATGGTCCATTGCTGCCGCCTGAGGATGAAAAGGGACAGGAGGGAATCTCAAACTCAAAGCCTCGTCTGTGAAATACAGTGATGGCAATTCATCTCTAACAAATAATCTTTAGAAAAGAGACTCTTGACACAAAAAAACTAAATAGGTGTATTGGGAGTGTAAATGAAAGATAAATTGAGAGAGCAGAAGACAGAATAGAATGCGAGGATCTTGAGATACCTTTTTTAAAAAAAGTTTAAAACTTGTCACAGTATTCCAAACTTAACAGTTTAAAACTTGACACAACTTCTCTTAAAATGATACAATGCAATGATAAAATATGTCTGACTGGTGCATGTGTCCATAGACCAACAATGAAAATAAAACTACCACAAACATCTGAGCCGAGGCCTAGCAGTTAGTGCATATTCTTCAGACATATTGAATAGCAGCACTGAATGAGATGCAAGTTTGATTCAGGCTTGCGTTTAGTGGTGACTCACTAAATGCCACAGAAGACAAACAAGCCTGAGCTTCCTCTAAATATTTATTAGGAATAAATTAAAAACAGTACTGGGGAGTAACAAACTAAAACTAATCACACATTTAAAGCTACACTGTGTAACTTTCGGGTGTCTAGCGGTAAAAAAAATAACATGGTTGTGCTTTGGTTCTGTTCCTCTACATTGATAAATTTGGTTTGAGGCACCGGTGTATATATGAATACATCTTATGAGAGAGGACGTAGTCGTGACATGACACACACAGGTGAACTTATGCATTTTCATGCAAAATCTGTCCGGAAAAGCTAGAAAATTTAAATAACTATTATAGGTTTATCAAAGTGTATTTGAGTAAAGACATGGTTTGGAGGATTTTTTGGCACTCCCTCATTATTAATAACATCTTGTAATTTTTTAATAGAAAAAGTTGCACAGCATAGCTTTAACTTAATTGAATTTATCGGTAGCGTGACAGTAGCTCAGTGTAGCTCAGAGCAACCCTTCATCCCTAAAAGCTAAATAATAAGATATAAACAATAATAACAACATTAATATATTTTTAATATATTGTTACATATTTAACTGTTTTATGTAACCGTTACAAACTTGCAATTTATGCAACAGTCAGAGGGATAAAAATATATATGAAGATCTGTGTTAACAAACAGATGGAAAAAAACTTTCAAATAAAGCTCAAATTAATTATATTAAAAAACTGAACAAAAAATAATAATTTCAGCCTCTTCAGAAAAAAATCCTCAAAAAAAAAAAAAAAAACCACCTACACCATCAGTAGAGGAATTGCAAGAAATTATTTGAATAAAAAATTACAAATGATTTCTTGCAATTCTCCTACTTAATTAAAAAACAAACAAAAAAAAAAAGTGTCATAAACGCCCCCCAAGGTGGAAAAGTGTGAATGGATTCCCACTTTGAAGCTGTCCAGACATCACTGCTGCCCCATTATCCGATGTGAAAAACACCAGTGTGTTGTTGTGGATTCCCAGACTGACCAGGTGAGCCAGAATCTGACTGATGCTGTCATCCAGTTCCATCATTGCATCACCATAAATACAAGACAAATCACACAGTGTCTTACCACCTTAATCACGGCAATCAAAGCACTAAAAATTACCCCAGATAACCTGTTCAGTTGCTCTAACCCAGACAGTATAACAAATTCTGTCAAATTATCCCAAGTTTGAAACCTGTCCTGTGACAGATGGATGTGATATATGGAGGAAGATAGATGCCTCAGATAGATGTGCACTGGTTATAAAACTTTAAGATGTGGCATGTCAGGCTGAATCTCTCCACTGCCAGCACCTGGCTAATACCCCTCAGCCTTGATCCATTCCTCTGTCAACACAAACCTCATTTAGCATTCTGAAGAAACGTATGCTTACTGAAGCCCCAGTATTCCAAAGCACTGGGAGGAATACTAAACAGTTGCAGACAAGACTACCAATGAAGCCTCCAGTTTTATTCTTGCCTCATAGCAGAAAAAAGAAAACATCTCATTAACCAATCATTTATATGTAATACAAAACTGGAACACACAATGCTGAATGTTTGGTGAAAACAATAAATGTTATGGCCGTTAAGTAACAGTAAGTTTTTTCTTTTTGTCAAGACATTATAGGCAAAAACACTGTTAATTCATATATTGGTCTTTTTTTTTTTTTTAGATTTTACACTATTTGACTTTTTGAGGTTTTCAGACTAGTGGAAAGAAAACATGCAAAATACACTTAAAATACACAAGTGTTTATTTCATTGCATTTTATCTATTTGTATCTGTAGATTTCAAGACATATCTTTAAAGGTCATTTCAAACATGGTGAATTTTTCTGTTGACAGTATTTTCTAAATTTATGGACTGATAATATGACATCCCTTCTGCAAAAAAAAAAAGAAGCATTCTACCATCTAGATTTTTTACACGTGAAATTACACTAAACATTTTCATGTACATTATACCATTATAAAAGTTAGTTCCAGTCCTCAGATTTGTTTGGCTAAGCAGTGTTCCAAAAATACTGAAATTCAGAACTGTTTGAATCACTCCGCTTGAAAATTATTCTGTGTTCCGAAAAGCTTGTCAGTCTGTGCATTAGTGGTGTGATGTTTAATATTTCCAATATTTGGAGCAACAGCAATTATATGATATTAAGTAGAAAATATGGATAATGTTATTCAGTAGTTTTGAAATCTGGTGTAGAAAGAATAAACCTCTTTGAATTAGAAAAACATGGCAATATGTTATCTGCTCCCAATATGCAGGCCTATGTAGGCCTAATCAGAAAGACTACAATATTTAAAGTGCCTCTATTATGCCATTTTTACGGTTCCTAATATTGTTTTCGGAGTCTCCTACAATAGGATTACATGCATGCAAGGTCAAAAAACACTTTCGTTTTTCTCAAAATATGCATTTAATATCAGCTCATTTTCCAGCGATTCTCAAACGATTCGTTCGAAGCAGTTCAAAGATTCAATCTCTCTAAACCCCTCCTTTCCGTGAGCCTACTCTGCTCTGATTGGTCAGATGGCCTTGTCTGTTGTGATTGGTCTACGGCGTACAGCGCGTGTCGGAAACGATACGCCTATATCAATAGTTCTGTATTTTGAACGCTCTATAGAAAATATAAACATCTATTATTTATCATACTTACAGGTTGTGATTCAGTGGAGTAGCTGGTCCAAATAAACAGGATATTGATCCATCTTTCAACAACAAGCGTTTTGTGAATCCCGCGTTGAACTCCCCGAGATTAGAGAAGCAGTCGTCAGTAGAATGATGTGTATTTGTTGACGGGGTCAAGTTGTTCGCGGCCAGCCAACGTAGAACATAGGCGCGCATTATGCAAATGTGTTCCCCCGTGACGTGTAGCCGTCACGGAAGTGGGATTCGAATACTAACGACTCGTTTCAGCTGTTCAGAGTCGATTCTTTATTTTGGGAGACAATAACTTTATCGTGCACTTTCAGCTTTACAACTTTGCAGATCGTTTACATTCACATACAGCTACATTACACACTGCATGAAAGGCAATATTGGAAATGGCATAATAGGGGCACTTTAAAATAAATAATATTAATATTATATATTAATAATAATATTGGCCAATACCAACATAGGCACTGACTGAACATGGCAATTATTAGATTTAGGTAAGTGGCAGATGTTTAAAAATATGATAGTTGTTTTAATGTAAAAAATAATGTAAAAATGCTATGTTAAAAAAATGTTATTTCATTAACAGTATTTTCCCTTACTATATATATGGCGAAAACAGTAATACATCTAATTGGGCATTTCATGTAATTTTAAAGTAAAATACTATTAAATGTTCAGTTTTTTGGAAGTGAAAAAGAACAAATCATCTATAAACTGACATTCTCTGATTTCCATGTGTGATGATGAACATTTGATGGTTTTTCATTTAAATAATTATATTTCTTCTTAGTTTTGTGTTATCAGCTATGTACATTAGGATTTTATGTTACATGTTATGCTTTTAAATTAATGTTTATTGCATTATTTTAGTTCTGGCAACCAGTGAAAGGATTTTGTAATACAGTGTATATCGCTCTAGGTGGTTGTTCTGAGTGGATTACTGGCATACTGTATTTCTATAAGGTTGCTGATGTTGTTAGGTGGGTGGCTTAGTAGATTGATGTCTTAGTAAAGTAATAGCACAGCGTTTCTAAAAACAAGCATTATTTGAGCTTTCATTCATGTGATTAACACAAACATCCTGGATGAGTTACGATGGATGATATACTTAGCAATGTTCACATACCGCCCCCTCTGGCTCTTTCCCAGAAAGCGTTTTGAGGCATAGACAGGCGCGTGGGTTGCATCTGGCGCCCAGTAGAGAAAGAAGGGCCGCTGGGCCACAGCTTGCTGAGAGATAAAGTCCAAGCCTTCCTGGAGAGAGATAGGATTGAAACCAACATCAGGCACATCTATTCACATCAACAGCGCTGATCCACACAAATAAACATTAATCAAGCCAATGAACAGGAAAACTTGCCTTCAAATAGATTTGGGTGAGGTTGGATTCCCCTGTTTTCACATTAATCTCAAACTCTTCGTAATACCTGCAAAATACACAGATCATCTCAACTTTCTGCTTCCTGCAGATCTAACGAGACCATCCCTACAAACTAATTTCAACACCATACGAGTTCTTGTTCCAAATGACAAGCTTCCTAAACCAAGTGCTGCAGCAGGGGGTGATCACGAAGTGAATTTGAAGAGGTAAATTGCAAGATTGTGTCTCAGAAGACACACGCATTGTGAGAAGGTGCTGAGGCGTGGAACGGTAGAGGCAACTCTCTTATGCTCCGGCTGTTCCAGGTGTCCTAACGTACCGCTAACGCAACCTGCCATCTCTTGGGTGTGAGTGTGTGTTTATCTGGCCAGGCTCAAACACGCCATGCTGATTAAACCCTCTGCTAAGCACAAAACCAGCTCTATCGCCAAAGCCAATGACCCAGAATGCACATATGGCTGTTTTGGAATGAACAAATGGGCAGAAAATGAGATACTACAGTGCAGATGGTATAAAAAGACAAAAAAGTGAAAATTCACTTTGCCAAACGGACATTTTCATGTGAAGCAGTACACGATTTTTACATGTTCTGAAGAAAATTTTTGAGTGGAGCCTGCCCGTTCAAAATTCCACCATGCTGCTATACGGTTTCTAAGGTGTTCTTAGCAAACACCACGAAAATGTGTTTGTACCTCACCTTCCCTTCATTTCGGAGTTGTTGTAGACAGGTATATTGGGACAGACGCTGTTATTGTAGGGGCCAAAATGGCAGTTGGGTGAACCAAACCATTCGTCAAAGCCATGCTTCAGAGGTAAGTATTGAGTTCTGTGCCCAAGGTGCCTGAGGTAGAAGATAAAATGTAATGTTTTAAAAAGAACATCTTCAATATGCAGTAGATAAAAATGTAATTATCAATTTTTTTTTATTTCATCCATAAAATTATTAAAAACGATCAAGCAATGTATTTAAATAAACTTAAAAATGCAACTACTGGTATTTAAATCAGCTATATTACTGTATTGCTTTGTTACAAATATGTTATCATTAATTTATCACAGTTAATAGTAATGATTACACAAAATACAAATATGACAAATTCTCTAATATAACTATTGCGTGTATCATATATTGCTTTGGACATTACTTTTGGCTTTCGTATTATGCATGGAATGCATATGACAGTATATTTGTTTAAATGCGTAGTACACAAGCAGTACACATTGCATGTTATTGTATCCCATAATACGATGTTCTCAACTTGACCTTCCATTTACAGTGTAACCAATGAACCAGAAGTGATATCAAGAGAAACAATATTTTTTCTTGAGCCATTATTTGATCAAACAAGAGAACGAGCGAACATAATTAGGAAATCTCACAAGACAAGCACAATATCAAGGCAAAGTGTATTGTACATATAATATTAACAGAGAGTTCAATCAAGTCAAGACCTTAAAACTGGAATAAACTTGCAAAATAATAGTAAGCATTTTTTGTGGAATTAAAAATGCATTCTACTGTTGTTTCACTTTGCATACTGCTTCATATTCTATTATAGCCCATATCATTATTCTGAGAAAGACATCTCATGAGAGAGGCTGCAGAGAATCTTACCACTTGCCGATGATCTTGCTGACATAGTCTTTCTTCTTCAGCAGTTGTGGAAGCAGGATCTCATCCTGAGATATTCCCCCCACTATCTCCTGAGGTGTGTATGCTGTAGGAGAGAGAATCCATCATAGGTGTGCACCATAAAGTCGTACGAGTAGATAAACTGATAATAGTGAAGGAGGGCTGAGGATAGAAGGAAATGGTTTACGATCATACCATTCCTAGCATGAGCATTGGTGGTGTAGAATCCATTTCGCACAGGAAGTCTTCCAGTAAGCAAAGCGGCCCTGGCTGTAGAGTTCAGACCATTTATGAAGTAAACATCAAAGACAAAAAAGACATACCTGTACCCATAAGACAAAAATTGTGTAGCTCACAGATTGTTTTACAACATCAAACACCACCAACTAAAAAGTTATTAGATACAGGGGGTTGGACAGTTTTGGAGAGAAGAATTCCTCCGATTCCCTCCTCCAACATCTCTGCAACTGGCAGATGTTTTTACAGACAACATTTAACTACAGACTATTCAAAGTTGCATGAATCTATTCTAAGAAGGTTGGAAGCTGTATTAAAGGCAAATAATTGCAAAACCTACTAATAAAATATTGCCTAATTTCCATGTGTTCATTATGTGTACAAAACTGCACAAGTTTTAATCTAATTAAAGTTCAAGATGCTCATCCACAACACTTACTAGTCTTCCAGTAAGCAAAGCGGCCCTGGCTGTAGAGTTCAGACCATTTATGAAGTAAACATCAAAGACAAAAAAGACATACCTGTACCCATAAGACAAAAATTGTGTAGCTCACAGATTGTTTTACAACATCAAACACCACCAACTAAAAAGTTATTAGATACAGGGGGTTGGACAGTTTTGGAGAGAAGAATTCCTCCGATTCCCTCCTCCAACATCTCTGCAACTGGCAGATGTTTTTACAGACAACATTTAACTACAGACTATTCAAAGTTGCATGAATCTATTCTAAGAAGGTTGGAAGCTGTATTAAAGGCAAATAATTGCAAAACCTACTAATAAAATATTGCCTAATTTCCATGTGTTCATTATGTGTACAAAACTGCACAAGTTTTAATCTAATTAAAGTTCAAGATGCTCATCCACAACACTTACTCATTTGCTGAAATTTAAATCATGTCGTATTTAAGACTTTGAGAGAGAGAGAAAGGAAAGAGACATTGGACATGAGAGAACTCACCCTGGAAATTATGATTACAAAGTTCTCCACGATCTACTTTGTGATTAATATTCTAATTTAGCAAAGCTCTATAATAACGTCTCTCTACAGCGGCAGGTACAAGTGCTCCAGGCACCTTCATCTCTCACATTCGAGATTAACTATTGATTAAGCCTTATTTGCTTAAAAATTCATTAGAATTGAAAAGAGGACTAATAGAAGATCTGCTCTGCATAGCAAGTCCATTCAAGTTCCCAAATTATGCATGATTAGCATATTTCAGCACCGTTGGTGTATTATCTATATTAGCATAATAAGTTGTCGTCTCACTATCATGCAGCCACACACGTCTTGTGTTCTCACGTAGAATTAAAATGGCTGAAGCATTTGAAGAATTTTTTCAGCAGGATGACAAAAAAAAAAGAGAATGAAAAGGAAATTATTTGCAATTGCAATGTAAATCAATATACTGTAAGTCACCTCAGACAAAATGTGTATTTTATTTCTTCAGAAAATAAAGTTCAATAATGTTTTTAAAATCAGTTTGTTTTGTAGGATATACTGTATAATGAATGTTTCATTTACTTTTATCAGTGTTTATGAATGTGGCGGGCATTCACATTCAAAAGAGATGGTAAAAACCTTTCAATTTAAGATCAGTCTTGGCACTTTTAACAAAGCTTTGTAAGTCCATTTGCTTCTTATGTCTAGACCAGGCCTATTCAACCAGAATTGAAGCTGAATAGCCCTGTCTAGACTCTGGTTAATCATATTTAGAATAGCATACTGCAACTCACACCATTTTTACAGTAGGCAGTACGCAAATTTTCTGTGTGCATGAAATATCAAGATGAGCTACTTCGTTGGCAAAAATGTGCAGTATCCTGTATAAGCAGAGCACACTGCTCTGAGTACTGCAACACCTAAATGAAATAATTAACCTTTCTTTCTTTACTTTATTGTTTGCTTGGGCCGGCAAAATAAATAACTACATTTACTAAATCTGAATTAATACGCAATGCATTGTAGCCTACACAGTACTATTGTTTAAAACATTTATCGTAGGCAGCATGCAGTAATGTGCAGTAAGCAGTATATTAATATTAGAGATAAAGGTAAGCCCAGAAGCAGCACATACAGGGGGAACACAGCGGGTTGGCAGTGTAGAAGTTTGGAAACAGCATCCCCTGAGCAGCCATCAGATCTAAGTCTGGAGTTTCCTTGGAGGGTTCCTCAAATGCTCCCAAATCACCCCAGCCCATCTGCAGACAGAAACAGAGAATATGTTGTGAGCATGCTTCTAATTTATGGTGGAAAAAATACATATCAATACAAGTGAATTAAATTTATTTATGGAAGTAAATTATATCTTAACAGACTGACAGACAGAGACAGAGAGAGATGTACTTTAGTTTATAGATATGCACAATTTAACAATAGCCCTCATCGGTATTGGATATCCATGCAAATTATTAAATGATCTTGAAAGATATTGGAAAAAGTTTAAATCAGACTGCAACTTTTCCAATGTAAACAACAGTAGACCAGAGGTTCTCAACCAGGGGGGCTGAGCACACTAGTGGGCCTTAGCAAACTTCCATGGGGCCCCAATAAATGTTAAATTTAGTTAGTTAGTTATATTAACCAAAGTCCTAGATAAAATGTATAAAATATATTTAAATTAGAATTAACTTCACAGCATGAAACTGACATCATTTCTTTTATTTTTATTATTACAACAGCAGTACCAGAGGTATATATATATACATCAGCCAAGATAAGTGGGCCTTCTTTTTGTCTTCAGTATTGGGGCCTTGGAGTCAAAAAGTTTGAGAACCACTGCAGTAGGCTATACTGTTTAACTATGCCAGGTTTCAAAAGTACAAAAAAGTCCCCAAAAAATTATTTTACATTAATGCATTTGAGGGTCAATTTTATCCAAAGCAACTTACAGTACATTGCATTCGAAATATACATTTTATCAGTTTGTACATTCCCTGAGGAGCAAACAAAGACCCTGGTATTGCTAGCACCATGCTCTACTGTATTTGGTATGAATCATCATATGAGGATGAGGTTTCAATTAATCCCTTCCAATGCATTATAAATGCTTTGATGTCTGATTGCACTTAAAACATGTGACATTGCTTAGTGTGAATTGTATTTTTGGTTTAAAAACAGGTAGAACAGTATAAATTAGTAATATAATCTCTTTGGGATATAGTTGTCAGCACTGCATTTTGCAACATATATTGTAATAAATAAAAAATAAAGAGAGAATTTGCTATGTATACACAATATACAATATCAACTATAACAAAGTACATCCAACACAGATGTATTTCACACACCAAAGATATGCGTTGCACAGATATGTATTGCTCGTACAATTGTATTATATAATCACAAAAGCGTGTAAAAAAAAGTTGTAGTGTCGTTCTGAAGTTAATTGGTCAGTGCTTCTTACAAAAAAAACCTCCAAAGGATTTACATCATCCATAAGCATGATGATGATGTTTGGACCATGTTGGCTTCCTGCGGTCTGACCCACATTTACTGCCCATAAGACACAAATGAGTCGTAAGACTCATTGTAGCGTTCTTTTAAATCTTTTCACAACACGTTAACTTTCAGGACGTGCACCCTAAAGCGGAACTGTTAAGTGCCCTAAACATTCAACACTGCAAAGCGTGTTTGTTCGAATCACGAGAAGTATTGCACACAATCACAAGCGCCACGCAACTATGAATCATGTGACTTTGAGTGTCACGTGACCGGTGTTTGTAGCGTCATCATGGCGGTGTGTATAGCAGTCATTGCGAAGGAGGTAAGTGAAAACATTTAATGCTTTTGTGATGCAGCAAATGATTTCTTGGTAATGGTTGAAGGCATCTGAGATCCGACGTGCTGGATTCATCAGATTTTGATGGGTTTATGAGTTTCTAATTTGTGTCGCGATCAGGGCTGTGTAGCAACATTCATATGCGTGCGAATATATTTACTTGCATGGTTTTTACGGTTTAATATAAATACATTGAAATGGCACAAGTACAGTATATGCAGTATGGTATGATATGAAATATACCATGTTTTACTTGTTTGTTTTGCAAACCTACATTGTTTTGAACGATGCTTGTGTCATGGGAGAGCGGGGAGTGTTTGTTTTTGTGTCAGTGTTTTTGCATTCCCATATTTGCGTTATAAATGAAAGTAGTTTGTTTAGAAATCTACAATGTCTTCGAAACTGTGTAAAGAGTGCTGTTACACCGGTACCGGATGAATTGCGACAGTATGTGGGGACGACATCATACAGTTAATTTACAATTCGAAACAATTGAGACACCCCCCACATATAATAAACCTTCACATTAATTAAAATTATAGAAATACATAACTACACAAAACCACTCAAAACGTAACCTACAATGTATTAGTTAAGTCCTATTTTGTGCAATCTTTGAGTCCAGTCTTTATGAGTTAATCTGGTCAGCTATTAGATTTCTGATATTGAAGATGAAAAATATTGTGATGATGCCTAGCTGATGGTACCTCATCCTGCTTATAATACAGCTACTTAAATAAATGTAGACAGTAATACTGGTAGAGTTTATTTTATTAGCTTTCTTGTATTGACTGCAGAAAGATGATCACAAGCACAGCTGTGTAAAAAACAGACTTCCTGGATGAGCAATCATTGGTCCAGTGTTGCTCTGGACATTAGTCATCATTCAAAAGTCTTTGACTGCCAAATGCTGTGATTGGCTAATCAGAATGAAGTATTTTAGAAAGCCCTTGAATAAATTAAAATTAAATGGTAACCTGCTGATTCAGACAATATTGGTTGTGTCATTTAACATCCATTAAAATTAATACTTTCTTACCTCGTAGTAATTTTTTTTTTTTTTTTTGGGAGTAAATGCATTACATTTTTACACACACAACTTATTATGTATAAGCTGAAATATCTTATAACATCGTATGGATTCTTTAAAAATTTGATATTTTCTGTAAATGATTGAACATTGCCATTTGGAAAACCATGGTCTAAGGTAGCATTAGCATGATTTATGCATTGATCAACTCTATTGCAATGAACAGATTATTTTAGTCTAGTTAATGTTTATTTCTAAATGTATGCACATTAAGTTGTAATAAAATTACAAGCTGAAATTGTGTTTCCTGTAATAGCAAACTTGCCTCTAGCATTACGTTGATCTCTGCAGAACTATCCACTGTACATTCGGAGCGTTCCTACACAGGGGGAACTCAAGTTCCACTACACAGTGCACACTTCTCTGGACGTGGTGGAGGAGAAGATCTCTGGTGTGGGCAAAGCCTTGGCCGACCAGAGGGAGCTTTATCTGGGACTGCTATATCCAACTGAGGACTACAAAGTGTATCCTTGAAGTCGGCATGAAACGGGTGTTGTGGTTGTCTTTTCTTCCTTATTGTGATGTATATCCGTCTTGTCAAATGAGGGGAAAAAATGTAGGGCCAGACTTGATTTTGTCCATCATAAATTGATTGGATTGATGGATTGTTGTCGTTTAATACATTTGCGACATTAGAGATGTTGAGAGAGGAAGTGGAAGTTAATGTTTTTGATTAAATATTATGAGGGTTTAAAAAAAAAATAATGTGCACGACGTATAAATTCATCATGTAAACTGCAGTATTTCAACATTGTCAATTTTGATTTCATGGTGACTTTAATAGTGATGGACTGATATATCAGTCGATATTTGACCATTTTGGGATTATCACAATGACCAACAATTGTGTCATTTTCCATCTAATGACAGCCTTGTCTAATTTGCTATTAGGGCTGCACAATTAATCGAATTTCTAATCACAATTATGGATGCCACAATTATGTAATCGTTCAAAGCGGCAATTAATAGTTCAAAGTCCACATATGTTATTCTGCGTGCTTAAGATGTGTTTTTTTTTCGCTTTACATGTTATCTTAAGGGTTTTTCCCATTATTTTAATTTTAGTTTTAGTATAACATTATAATACCATTCATATTTTTACTTTTTCATAATTTAAAGAAGAAACCAATCCGATGTATAGTTGACATTTAAGGCTTAATACTACAGAAAAGCACTAAAAGTTTTTCAGTTAGAGTGTTTTCAGCTTGTTTATTTTCATATAAAAATGCGGCGCAGTTGCATCAAACAATGGTATTAGGGCTGTCGCGATACAACCCTCTACATTGCGAGTAAATCACTCGCATATGCGACTAAATCTTACTCTGGGCGACTAAATTATATCTAATATTAGCCAATTGCTAATAAATTCTCAGATTTTACTCGCCAGTGTGTGAGTTGGAGGCTAAGTATAAGTTTAGCCTAGATATATTTACACTCGCCGAACACTCTGACTGAGCGTTTCAGAGTTTCGCTCTCCGTGTTTTATATTGTTCTTATTAATTCGTATCATTATTATCTTATCAGTATTTTTGATTTTTTTTTCCGCCTCAAGTTTTTGTATTGTTTTTTACAGAAACTCTGAATGACCAAAAAAGTACCGAAGTTCAGTTAAAATGACAAATATGCATTCATAAATGGTTATCAAGTTTTAATTCTAATGACTAAAGTTCTATCATTAAATAATATTGATTATCATATTATAATGCTTGACTGACTACCGCCAGACCCGGAGATTGGCTGAATGGATTCGAAAACGGTAAAACTCAACTGTTTAACTCTAGGGGAGTTGGAAAATTAGCCTATTTTCAAAAATAGTGGAGTGTTCCTTTAAATATAATAGTGATATTGTGACAAATGTATTTTAAAGGAGTTTATTTTGCAAAGGTCCGCAGGACTAGGGCTGTCGCGATAACCGCAATATCGCAATTGCGCGCTATTGAAGAGCAAACCGCAGAGGAATGCAAGAACCGCAGCAACCGCGATTTTTGCGCGTTTTCTTTTTCCGTAAGGTTATGCCCTTTTACACTTCATGCATGTGGACTGAATATTAAACAAGTTAGTAATGATAACAATGTGTACCTTGCTGATTTGTACAGAGGCTTCGTAGTTTTGCACTTAAAGGGTTAGTTCACCCAAAAATGAAAATTAGGCTGCGTTTTACTCACCCCCGATGCATCCTAGGTGTATATGACTTTCTTCTTTCAGACGAATCCAGTCGGAGTTATATTAAAAATTGTCTTTGATCTTTCAAGGAAATCTCTGTCTTAGCACCGACGCATAGCTGGTCAGCTGAGCCTTCTAAAGTGGCGCTCAAGGTTAAAATGATTTCAACAGCGTGTTTCATTATGTCTCTCTTTGAATGAATGAATCAGCATTTTTGAACGTGTAGTTGAATGAACGGTTTAAAGACTCACTCAAAGACAGTCCCTTTCCACCACCTTGTGGCGCAACACTGTAACTGCACTGACTGACAGCCCGTCTAGACGCGTGCGTGCAGGTGGAAATATCAATAGAAAGTCTCTTGTCCAGTCAGATTAGAAGATCAGATCAGAACTAACTGTTATACATATAGGCTAACGATAGCCTAACGATCTTATTGTCAGGTTTATGTTCTGTTATGTGGACCGTTATTTTGTCATTCTCTTCTGTTTACTTCACTTCCTGTTTCAACACTAATTGGTTTCGGTTTCATTGGTTTCTGAATATGACCTCGGTAGTTATATCGTAACAAACACACAGATTATATATATATAGTGTGTGTATGGCGATAATACCGCATACCGCGCTATTGAGCCACTCAAAATTACCGTAAGGGAAATTCCCTCACTGCGACAGCCCTAAATGGTATAAACATCAATGTAAATTGTGATAATCATAATTAATAATCGCAATTACAATTTCAAGGGAATAATCGACAATTATGATTTTTGTCATAATCGTGCAGCCCTATTTGCTATCATTAAATTACATGTATTTATAGGAATTATTAGCCATACTGCTCTTCAGATATCAACAACAGCTACTGAGGAACTCATATCAGTTGACCACTAATTCTTAACCAAAACAGAATGACTGACTTTCTTCTGTGGAACATAAAAGAAGATATTTTGAGAAATGTCAATGGTTGTCCACACAATTGAAGTGAACTTTTAAACTTCTGTTACTAACATTTGAAATACCATATTTTGTGTTCCACAGAAGAAAGAAATGCATACAGGTGTGTAACATGACAATTTTCATTTTTGAGTGAACTTCCCTTTAAGACGGAAAGCTTTCTAATGCATAACATTTTCAGTCATTATTAAAATATCATCTTAACAAGAATTACAGATATGGCTACGTGACGAACTCTAAGGTGAAGTTTGTGATTGTTGTTGACTCTTCCAACACATCTCTGCGAGACAACGAAATTAGAAGTGTAAGTTCTATAGGTGTATTGTGTCAGTTTAACAACAAAGGTGAGATGTCAATCAGATGGGTATAATGAGCTTTTTGTCTTTGTTCAGATGTTCAGAAAGTTACACAACTCCTTCACTGATGTAATGTGTAACCCATTCTACAATCCTGGTGATCCAATTCAATCAAAGTA